CCGACCGAGGAATTTCAAAAAAGGCCACAAAAAAGCCGCTTAACTCACGGCCTACCCTTCGTGCGAAGGCAAAAGAGTTATCTTATCTTTGACAAGATTCCAAGGCCTTTCCTACAGCAGGTCGATTAAAAACCCTTCGGATCCATTCTATTTACGAACGCAAGTTCTAGAAATGCGGTCGGTTGGACGCTCTCCAAATTAATTGATAAATCCAACCCCCTTAAGCCAGTTGTATCAACTCCAGCTGCAAATATCCTTCCATACACCATTTGCCGGCTTATCATTGTCTCTTTATTCATTTCGCCCATTAGGCCATAGCGGAGTGGCTAACGGGAACATTTAAACAAAACAAAATTCTAGACTGAAGGCAGCGTCCTAGACTTGACGGTAACCCATGACCAGTCGAAAAGCACGGCGCGATAGAAGTTGGGGTTCCGTGCAAGAAGACTAAAACAGCGGTATAGAAAGAAGACTACGATGGTTTTTAATATTTGCCGGTAGCGATGACTTAGGTTGTCGGCCTCCAAATGACCTTTCTTGTATTTCCAATTAAATTTACTTGGTGGATTAAAATAAGGCATCCACTATTGTATCTTCAGGATCATTTAACTCACAAAACAGCAGAGCATGCTCCTACTCCTATCAGTGGTGAAACGCAGCGCGGAGGACAGACATATCGGGGTTGGACATTTCGGTACAGATAAATTTAGTTACATTTATATCTTTTGTAGGGTCGCTTTAATCGTCGAAGCTAGTATATTAAGCTCTCCATTGACGTGGACACCTATCTGTCTGGTTAGGTAGAGGTAAAACTTAATGGATTTCGGGTCGTATGGTCGGATACCTAGTCATTATTAATCACTTTCAGAAGAAAAAGAAGAATAATCGATCACTGGGACAACACTTTTATTCGCCTGAGGCTTGGATATCCGTCGCGGATTCTTCATCAGAGACATGAGCAGAAGAAAAAAAAGCGGAAACAGTTATCACTGTGGCGATCCCAGTTAAGCCTTTCAGTTTTGACTGTCGCCCAGCAACGAACTTCTCTAGGAGTCTACACCAATGATGGCTAGGAAAAACCGAAGCAATGGCTATACAGTTAGCAAATCGAAATTTCTGTTGTCGAAAGACGCTGGTACAGGCATTCCGTCTTCCATGGCCAATGGTGAGCCCAGATGGCGACCACGCACCGTCTTATGCAGCCGCCCACGCCACACACTTAACGGTTATGTGTATTCTGCGTTCTTACCTAAAATGCCGTTCGGAACCCTACATTATCTCCCGCCCCCCTCCAATGAGCAAGACACTTCAACCTTGCCATGTTGGTTGTGTGGAAAATATGACTGTTCATAACACCTTAGAGAGACCCATAAACCCCTTCAAAGTCTCATAGTTTTGCATCCTCTTTGTAACTGCATAGGCTTGATTATGAGTTAAAGAGAAGATATGTTTGCCCACTTGCTGTTTAAAACGTTTGTCTTTTGATTTAAAAAAATGATAAAAAAGCACACATATGTATATACACATGCTTCCACTGCTCACCTATCAAAGGCGTTGAGCAAGAGATTCAGGGCCAGGTCAACGCAAGTGGGCAGGGAGAAGAGACGACC